CTCACCCAGTAGGGGCCAACTCTACGGGGAAAATAGCATGTCATAAAAAGGGGCTGAAAGAATGTCCTTGAGCTACGCATTACATGGTTAAGTTTATGAATCCTTTACAAGGCTGTTGCGAGGTCTGAATTCCTCACTCTCACTCGGAGAGATTCTATCAAGCTTTAAGATTTTACGTTGTGATCATAAGGTTGCCGATAATTGATAGAGCTAATGCTATGAGCAAGATGCAGTTGGGAGACCTAAATAATGCACGCGAAGATGATACAACCACGGGATCGGCCGAAGGCGGAAACGCTTGGGTTGACGGAACGCTAATAGTACCCATAGTTAATAGAAACATTAACTGTTCGAGTAAGAGATATTTTAGCTCTTACCCTGGACAGGGGAAGGAGCGTAATGGAGAAACTTCTGAAGAAACTATCCCTACGGGGATAGAAAAATTGGAACACCTGATCAAGAACAATTTAAACAAAAATGCTATGAATTATAACTTAATTGATATCATCAAAGACCCAGATATTCTATTACTCGCCTATAATAAAATAAAGAGTAAACCTGGAAATATGACTAAGGGTACTAGCAACGAAACCCTGGACGGGATTAATAAAAATTATTTTACTAATTTATCCAGGGCCTTAAGCTCTGGAAGTATTAAATTCTCCCCTAGCAGAAGAGTGGAAATACCCAAAGCAAAAGGAGGACTTAGACCTCTGAGCGTTGGAAACCCTAGAGAAAAGATAATCCAAGAAGCCATGAGAATGGTTTTGGACGCTATCTTTGACTCTCACATGAACAAATTTTCACATGGTTTTAGGAGCAACAAAAGTTGCTCCACTGCAGTATGAGACGTCAGAAATTATTTCGGATCCGTGAAATGATTTGTCGAGGTAGACCTGTCAAAATGTTTTGACACTATACCCCAACACCTAATAATCCAAGAATTAGAGAAGAGAATAGGTGATAAAAGATTTATGGAACTGATCTATAAATTACTAAGAGCTGGTTATATAGATTCAAATGGAACTTTTCACAATGGGAGAATTGGAGTTCCCCAAGGGTCCATCGTTAGCCCTATACTGGCTAATATCGTGTTAAGTCTAATCGACGATTATCTAACCGACTACAAAACCGATTTCGATAAAGGCAAACTCCCAAAATTGAATCCAGAATACGACAAACTATCTAAACAGCTGAAATCGGCAGTCTTAGCCTCAGAAAGAAAAAAAATTCATAGGCGTAGAAAACTAGTCAGACCATCTATAGATGACCCTAATTACCGCAGAATGAAATTTGTAAGATATGCTGACGATATTTTTATCGGAGTTATCGGCACCAAATTAGACTGCATTAATATAAAAAACAATCTTAATGAATTCTTGAATAGCCTGGGCCTCTCCATGAATATGGAGAAGACCCTGACTACTCATGCCTCAAAAGGTAAAGCCCGTTTCTTAGGATATGACATTAATATCACCCCTATAAAGAAACGGCCAACTGTAACTAAGAAATTCGGGAATAAAGTCATTAGATCTACTAGTATAACTAGACCGATCATCAATGCTCCCATAGACGACATCGTGTTAAAATTAGCAAGTAAAAATTACTGCAAAGCAGGAGAACACGGTATACCCACCGGATGTCGGAGAATGATTCATGAAGACCATAGAACTATTATAAAACACTTTATAACATTAGGTAATGGTATCTTAGGTTATTATAGAATAGCAACTAATTTTAACACGTTAAAACACAGACTATACTATATCTTATATTATTCCTGCGTATTAACTCTAGCTAGAAAATTCAAGCTAAAGACTAAGAAACAAGTAATAAGAAAATTCGGACTCAATCTGACCACCTATAAAGAAGTAAAAGGTAAGAAAGTAATCGACAAAGAATTCCCTAAGGATGTATTTGATAGAATAGCTAAGATAAAAACACACGAGGAATTCAAACTAACTGTTAGTGTAAAGGATCCTTTTGATTTTATCGAAGAAATGACATACTGATTACCTAGAACAACCGCACTTCTTGATAGACCTTGCTATATTTGTAATTCTAAGCTCAATGTGGAAATGCATCATGTCAACAAGTTAAAACACTCCAACCTTAAAAAGGCGGATTATCTAACAGACCGAATGATAAAAATAAACAGAAAGCAATTACATCTTTGCAGGGAATGTCACATTAAGTTACATACAGGGAAAAAGTATAGTCCAGGGTTATAACAAAAATAAAAAAAGTTGTACTGAAGATCTTGTATCCCCATGGAGAGCCGTATGATGGGAAACTATCACGTACGGTTCGGGAAAGACTTTTGATCACTGATATAAAATATCAAGGATTGTCAGTTATTTTCACTGCTTATCTCAGGACACGGAGTTTTAATGATTTTTTTCTTAGTTATGCCTAGTTTAATAGGTTGAGCTGGAAACTTTTTTTTACCTTTAATGCAAGGAGCACCAGATATGGCAAAATTAAGAGGTCTCCTTGGGAATATTTCCCCGGGCCGCATAGCGGCCCGGGGAAATTCCTCCCC